AATGCATCTTGGTTTGCCTGGCTACACTTCTCACTTGCTTTTCAACTCCACATGCAATCATTTATATTTAACGTTGTTTTTTACAATATCTGGGTTATATATGGCATAGTGCATTGATTGTGAGCAACGTTTTTCAAATGAAACAATATTAAAAACATTTTCTCAATTGTTAATGTGTTGTTAAAAATACATCTTCATTATATACGTTTACGACATATGTGAGAATCTTCCCACAACGTTATGTTGGTCAGTCATAAAAGACTAAAGTATTTAATACGAAAATGAAATTTCAAATGTGACGAGACGAGATTTAATCCCCGATCAATACTTATGGAGTTTATAAAAAATGTCAGATTGATTACAAATACAGGTTTTGCAATTACGTTCAACATGAGAAATAAATTGTTAATGTATCCAAAGAAGTTCTCGTTGGGCAAATAGACCTACCACTAACCAGTACCTTCGTCTTCTTACCACGGTTACGCTAAATGCAACGACGTATTCGATCAATAAAATATAATTAAACGATTTCTAGTTCCGTGTTCAAGTACTTTATTCAACTCTAGGTTGACATACTTGCCATTTGACAAACTAATACGAAAGTGACAATGTAATGCGATGTTTGAGAATTGAAATACATAATTTATATCACTTGAAAGGTAATAACCAAATATTACGGATCCGCTTGTAATCTTTATCGCAGCTGTAAAGTCGAATTAAGGTCCACTTAAAATACAACATAACGAAACGGGTCAAACAGCGTCTATTATAATGTACAGAGTTCAAATCATCACCTATATCCAACCTTTGACCATTTCAAAGTGTCAACACTACTAAAAAGTCTTAACTGTTTGGATGAAATTTTAGAATATGTCTAGAAAATAATTTCATTTTCAACACTTAAACTTTAAGTCTTTGAAACGTGAAATGCTGAAGAGCACATATAACAGCTACTGGATTTAGGCAGAGAGAGAGAGAGAGAGAGAGAGAGAGAGAGAGAGAGAGAGAGAGAGAGAGAGAGAGAGAGAGAGAGAGAGAGAGAGAGAGAGACTCAGTCGGTATAAAGAGAGAGTAACTCAGTCGGTATAAAGAATCTGATTAGAGGAACATGAAATGCACAAAAGAGTATATACTGTAATACACACGATAGCTCAATTGAGGGTTGGTTGAAAGTTGAAATACCCATATTTATTAAACATACGTATTTTATCCAACGCAGAGTGAGATGGATTTTCTACACGTACAAACACTTAAATATGATTATAATTTACTGAATTTGTATGGTGAAATATGAAAGAGTTTCTTTTCTGAGTAATATTGCACTACCTTTAGGGGTGCAGCATTTTTCCTAAACAATGAGTTCATATGTTCCAGTACAAATGCAGTAACCTTTGTATTACATAGCCATTTCGTATTCCTTCTCAAGGATTATTAATAACTAAATTCACTACAACAAACAAAGGTATTTAATTTATTCTATATTTCAAAGTAAATGGACATTAGAATACATGTGTCTGTGCATTTGTGTGTCCATGTATGTGTAGGATTTCATGGAAATATTTCAAGTAATTTAACAAAACAACTCGTATTATCTAACAGATACAACGAATGTGCCATAATTCATGTAGAACCTTAATGGCTACCTTCTTTTAATCTGTGCCACAAGCATGCAAGTTCAACCTGGTCATTATCCTTTATATGGTGATCAACGTCATCTATAGCATCACTTTTGTATTTATAATTATTGTTATGTCTTAGTGGATATTCTGGTTGATAAGTTATTTCGCAATTAAAGATAATATAACCTTTAAGTTATTTACATTGTGTCTAGCATACAAACCATTTCACTAGTGCCAATTTAATAGGTAAATTAGTAAATTCTTATTTGTTTGCTTGAAAGCAGGGATGCAAACACAAGAAAAGAAAGTCCTATCATTGGATGCTACAGGAGGATCTGTGATAACGTCAAGTGAAATTACATATGCAAACCGAATGTACAACAGGATGAATGATAACATGAAATGAAACTGCACATAGAGACATAATATACCGGTGGATGTGTGATAACTTGAAGTGAAATTGCATATGGAACCAAGTATTATCACACATATTACATAATTTTTAATCTCCTTCTGAGATTCGAACCCTGGTCTGCGTAGCAGATGCATTCTTATAGTGACGCTGTAGTTAACATTTACGTAATAATCTCTGATTCCCCTTGACATAAATCGAGGATATAAAAAGTTAGTTTAGATAGTTGCAAATATACACGCAATAACACAGAATTGGCCCACCCAGTATTCTGGATGAGGATGTGTGATAAGAGCAAGTACAATTACAACCTGAAAAGTGTATTATCGTTCAAGTTAGATAATTTAAATTCATCCCCAATTGAGATTCCAACACATATTACGCTACTAATTGCTTTGCCGTCACAACCGCATCCATGCTCTTCTTTGTGGGTAGAGGCATTTCTTGCGAACCCGACACACTCCATGACAAACCAAACATAATTATCTTCTACATTAACGTTCATTCACGACCCTTTGACATAAATCAAGACATCTGGACGTTTACATCGACACTGAAAAATATCTGACAGACCAGATAGCATTATTACTGGCACCTACTTGATGCTTGATAACGTACAGGGATTATATATGCATGGAGAAAGGTCATAATCGTACAGATTAAACCACTCGGCCAGTTGGGGCCCTATCTATATTTGTAATTTAAAGTTGATTTTCCGTAAGTGTATCTTGTTCAACGATCAGTTTGGAGGTGGTATATAGGAGAAACTACATCTCCATCAATGGTCCCCTTCAAACAAGCCATATCCTACTGACCAATCGCTGACAACTGTCTTCCAACACGTGACCCTGCACAACAGGGTATGCACTAATAGCTTGATTTGATCACCAGGATGTACAGCATTGGCTCACATAGTGGGACTGTATAGCCTGGTACGCTATTGGCTGGAAATGATTGGTTGAATGAACATAGAAGATCTTGATCTGTCGTCTACTGTTCAAGCAACCACGTATGTTTCGACATTGTTGACAGACCATATTCTCATGTTCCCTAAACTTATATTTTCTCTGATTTGATTATCATGAAAGAAGTATCAATGCTGAGTATTTGCTACCATAAAATATAAACAGTTATTTTCTTTAACATTCTTACTTATTATAAATGAATATTACCATCATATCTGTCCACTAATCAACATTAATGTACAGGTTGTTGTTAGTGACTTTCAGCAGATAAAACGACACTAGCACATTTTCATTCTAATAATAAACAGAAGTCCTGTACTTAATTCAAAATGTACAGATAACGGTGTGGTACAATGTTTCGACACTAAAAGGAGGTAACAAATCGTAACGAATCAATGTATTCATTGGAAATTAGGATCAAATAGTTGCTTAGCAATTCTATCACGTTGCTATGCACTGTACTTTAGGGGCTAAATGGACATTCTACGTCAAGGATATTAGGATTAATTCGGCATTTTCCGTATTAGATTTCATAGGCAGCTGACTGAAGCAACTGGTTGAAAGGTTGTAAAGAAATTAGAACCGATCAGAAAGGAATTATATCTTAGGCAAACAACTGATATTTTGCGTCTTTTGTGTGCAGTATAAATTTACCAAACAGGTCTTACAGCTGAATTAGTGGAAAAAGATCTAATTTCTTCTAACATCTTCTAAAGCTCTTTACAAGAAGTCTCATAGTATCGTCATGCTTGTTTTGTTTTTTTTTATTGGTGATTCACTGCATTCTATTTTCAGTAGTGTTAAATCATATCAAGATTATCATTGGCAACTATTTTGTCAGGCTATATGACATTAAAAGTTTATCAAAGCATAACATGGAGAAGTTACAACATACACCGACGGAATTATTCATAGCACTGGTAACTAAGGAAGGCGTGGGTGGGGAGATACGGTGGCTCCCCTTTGTATGATTCGGTCTGACAACTTTGTTTATTAACGGCTTGTCATCTAACAGGAAGAAGTAAAAAAAAAACTGGATGTGTTATCGTACTTCCTTATCCTGGACAGTATATATATTGTTAGAGTTCATTTATTCCACTGAGGCCGACTTCCGTTCTGGTATACAATCATTAATTTGTCATGCCTTTATTAGCTGCTTGCCCTTATTTACAGCTTGTGAGAGCAAGAATATTTCTACACGAATTGGTAAGTTGTAACGTATTCATCGTCATCTTTGACCGCATCATTATAGTCCTGAAATTCCAATGGCAGACTACGATATGTATTTCTTTGTTTAAAAGTGACCATTTCTAAATTCATTCCCGTGTAATCTGCTTTTATTTATCCTTTCACACAAAGTGGGGGATATAATAATTGTATTTTTTTCTCTTGTGCAAGTTAATATATATAACATGTTAGAGAAAGTTATCTGGCAGTTTTTCACAGGTTGCGTTGATTTCTTTACCACACTTGATACGAAAAATCATGCATCGTTCTTCGGTGATGTACTAATGATTTTCTCTTGATTTGGTCCATTTTGTAAGTTGGAACACTAACTGACATATCGACAACTAGCAATCAAATACTGTATACTTATCGTCCCAGCGGACCTGTGACCAATCCAACTATGAGAAAACTGATACTTGTCTTGAAGTAACTGGACTGCTGATTTGTCTGATAGACACTTTACCGATTGAAGTCAGACACGGGACATTTATTCTTATATATCATGAAATAATTCGTTGTTCAAAAATGTTTCAATTTACTTCCAAATTTTAAAAAATAAAAGTAGTGAATCATCAGTTTCTTTAAAGAATGTGTGCAAATTATCACAAAAGATATGTAAATTTAAAAACATTTCTACGCTAATGAGTGATCTGCCTTAATAGGGCATCTAACTTATGTGTATACTGTATCAAAACCTTTTTTATCACTTTTCGGAGGGATTGGCATGATATATGACAGGCCTTTTCAATATATTATTGTTACATAATTGTGCCAACCGCTCCGGTGGCTTAGTTAGAGCGTCCGCCTCGGAGGCGGGAGGTCTTGGGTTCGATCCCCGGTCGAATCTTACCAAAGACTTACAAAAATGGTACTAACAGCTGCCTCGCTTGACGCTCAGCACTAAGAGGTTAGTGTTAGGACTGGTCGGCCTGGTGTCAGGATAATGTGACTGGCTGGGACATCATGCTACATGTCTGCGGTATGATGCCCCAGTGCTAGGCATAACTATAAACTGTCATACTGCAGACATCGTAGCGATATGACTGAAAAATTGTTAAAGCTACCTTAAAAATCATAACCACATCACATCACAAAATTGTGCCGACCGATACCTCGACTACTTGGTAATTCAGTGTACACTTTGCGGACAAGAACTCTCCTGATACTAAAGACATTTTTATATTTAACTTCGGGCTAAACTCCAATAGATCTCTGATTCCATTGTGCAATGAACACCTTTAGTTCTTTTGATGTTACTGGTGATGTATCACATCAGCGATCTTCAGCTATTTTAATTTATTTAGTCATGAAACTTCATGACATTTATTGTTCGAAGCAATTCAAACACTAAAATTAATCGCCTGACATTGCGATAGAAAGACTGGATGAAATGATATCAAATTAGTAGTGTGCATTTGAACAAAATATTATCTACTATAATTGTATTTTATATAAACAGTAATACTATTCTTCTACTAACACTAATAATAATAACAATTATTATTGGAATAGTATTATTATTATTATTATTATTATTATTATTATTATTATTATTATTATTATTATTATTATTATTATTATTATTATTATTATTATTTAAAAGGATAACACAATATTATTGTTATGAGAGACCCATCTTCCATCTGGTCATTAACAAAATAATAAGCTATGCTATACAAAAGTCACTTACATGCGTTCTGGTGTAATCGCAAATGCACTCACATATTATAAATAAATTAATTTATATGTCTACGGTAATCAACAGGATCATATATGAACACGTCAAAAACCGGTATATACATTTCACATGTCAGAAATTATATAACATAGCGCAAAATGAAATACATACAGATTCAAACTGGATATAACGGTGCAATTTCTGTATATGATAATCTGTTTCTATAATGTTATATCATGAGGAGAAAGCTTGTTAAGGTACCTATGTTGCATGTTTCATTAAAAATATAGATGACTTTTTGTGTTTTCATGTAAACTATAGACGCATAAACAAAATATCAAAGGGAATCGAAATATTAGTTTTGTAATTATTTCTGAGTTTATCTATTATGGATGAATAATAAATGTTTGAGGTATATTTCCGCCTGCCAGAACCGTAGCTAAACAGTGGCAGTGGTGGTATATATATATATATATATATATATATATATATATATATATATATATATATATATATATATATATATATATGTATATATATATGTATATATATATATATGTATATATATATATATATATATATATATATACATATATATATATGTGTGTGTGTGTGTGTGTGTGTGTGTGTGTGTGTGTGTGTGTGTGAATGATATCCCATGAGATCTATCCATTGTTCATTGAAAGGAAACAAGTATTAATGGCAATTATCTGTCACGTAAGCAGTAAAAAGTCATTGTCTGGGAAAAACATCATTACTTATTTGTAATTGATCAATTTTCACGCACGTTTCCTACGTGTTTAATGAGTTTTCCGTCATATTTGATAATCTGAAAGTATTGACTTAGCACCACCAAATTTTCAATCGGTGGAAAAATAGCTGATCAAACATCCATGCTGTCAGATATGTTCAATGTCAACATGTTTCGTCAAAATTTCAATGTGACCGATAGGACATAGAACGTAGTTACACACCAATGGATGTAACGAAGACATGTCCATGTACCTGACCTATTCCTGTCGAGATTGAGCTCCTACTTATAACAAAGGCACAACATCGGCATTTTTACATTTAAGCCACAGCAATGACTCAAGACAAACTCATCTGTTTATGCTCGTTCTAATTGTGCTCGTTCACTATCAGGACAACGACTCATCTACACAAAATATTACTAGCCTTAATAAAGTTACTTTCTTTGATTTTTATGTCCATCGATTCATAAATTAGGATATATAATCGGTCTATTGGAACATATACCAAGATGATACACATGTCTCGGGTAATGCATCCAGACGTTATGAATGAACATTTTTAATAAGTATATTTAAATTAATTAGGACGTGAACACTAAAGTTATGTTGCATTTATAAATCCAAAACCTAGCTAATATTTAAGAGACAATCCCATTGATTTTGACACCTGAAATGACATCAGGGATTGATCATTATTGGTTATAATACTGTACATATTTACCTGAAAACACTGCTGATTTTTATGCCGTGTGATCCAATTACCGGCATACACTGCCCACTTTTATACGGTCTGTTCAGGCCTGTAAATAATAACACTTATCAAGTTGGGCTTGATAGTTTGTGTTAAACAAAGTTTTATAGCGATATTTTTAAGAGGTCAATAAAATGACACAGGCTGAAAAATCAAAATGAATATCAAAGTCAGATACTCTACCTCCAGGCACTGATCTAGTCAACAAATTACATGCATATATACTATCCCGCCCTGATACACGCACTCTCCTTACTCCCCGGGGCGGGGCCTCGAGTGGCCGAGTGGTCTAAAGCGCTGTCCGTTACGGATCACTGCCATCTCACCTCTGTCTGCGTGGGTTCGAGTCTAGGATTCGGCAAATGTGGATATGTGAGAAAGCTTGCCAGTAGCTTCTCGTGGGTCGGTGGTTCTTTCCGGTGATTTCCCGGTTTCTTCCTCCACCATTAATACTGGCCGCCATGTATAGCCTATCTTGTGCTGACAAATGGCGTTAAACCTCACAACAACCAACCAACAACCAACCTTACTCCCCGGGACCACACGTCTCCCTTCACCACAAACTTAGTTGCCTTGGTTATCTCTCAAATCAGATTGCTCATCTATATTTGTTTAGACAAGTCAGTTTAATATTAAGATTAAAACCATGATTTCATTATATAAAACTTTTATGGATGAAGCAATAAAGCTAAACCGGTCACACTTTCTACGTGTTGGTGTTGTTTATATATATATATATATATATATATATATATATATATATATATATATATATATATATATATATATATATATATATATACATATACATATATATATACATATATATACATATATATATATATATATATATATATATATATATATATATATATATATATATACATATACATATATATATACATATATATACATATATAGATATACATACATATATATGTATATATATATATATATATATATATATATATATATATATATATATATATATATATATATATATATATAAAGAATACAAATCATATGGCGAATAACAACCCTCTCAAGCGTACTGGATCCACCAAGTGATCACGTGTGTCAGGGATTATTTAAAATAGATGCAATAAACTGACGACGAACAGTACGAAACTAGTAACTAACTAGCCTAAGCGCTTTCGACTCTTAATGAGTCTTTTTCAAAGGCAAATACAAAACATAGTTACGACAAACAAATAAACACAAAAACGTTGTGTTTTTAAACCTCTACATTTCTGTCTTAATACTTATCGCTATTGCTAACAACCACAGCTGGAGTTCCGAAACCAGGAAGGAAAAGGAATCATACTGGATACGCCGCCTTAGAACATTGAAATCAAGCGGTCTAAACCAAGAAGACTAGAAAATGAAAACTATGCACTAGTAGAATTTAACATTTTCTAAATCTTCTTATTATCCTTCAATTTTTACTATAAGAATAACCGGTATAGAATCAAATATCCGGGATATAATCTGCGTTACATATGTACACAAAGTAAAAATAGATGTCGCTTTGGCTTGTAGACTTTTAGGGAATTATACAACGTTTTCAGTTTCCGCAACTAGTCTATACAAGCTGGTTGTATTTATAGTTTTAGCACATGTGAAGACAGAAATGTAGAGGTTTACAAACACAACGTTTTTGTGTTTATTTGTTTGTCGTAACTATGTTTTGTATTTGCCTTTGAAAAAGACTCATTAAGAGTCGAAAGCGCTTAGGCTAGTTAGTTACTAGTTTCGTACTGTTCGTCGTCAGTTTATTGCATCTATATATATATATATATATATATATATATATATATATATATATATATATATATATATATATATATATATATATATACATACATACATATATAAGTATATATATATATATATATATATATATATATATATATATATATATATATATATATATATATATATATATATATTCTTTATTTATGGTAATTAACTTTGACCCATATGTTTTTTTTTCTCGTGATTGATACAGTACTATTTGCCATCAATATTTTCATCTTTTAGATGGAGGTTATTATAAATATAATGTGGCTGCTCGTCTTAGCAACAGCGACAAAGACAACGCTTATTACATCGGCATACTCATTATGTGTCAGTAGCGTTCCGTGCAAATGTAGAAGGGACTTTGGCAATCGCCTGATAGTGGATTGCTCCAAACTGAACCTAACGGAGATTCCAAGAATACCAAACGATACTGTTTTCCTTTCCTTGAGCAACAATGAAATATCAGTGGTAGAAAACAGAACATTTTCTAATCTTCCATATCTGCTATCGTTAGATCTATCAAGCAACTCCATGAGAATAATTGACCTGGATGGATTTCAAGGACTGGAGAAACTGAGACGTCTTGAACTCAATCGGAATAATATTCCTCTAACGGTCCAAGGCTTTGAACCAGGTGTATTCCGATCGCTCAAAAATCTTTGCTATCTTAGCATTCAAAATGTTCAATCAAAGAGAGACAACTCTTCCTATCCTGGTCAAGTATTTGCCGGGCTAAATTCTTTGACCACATTGAAAATTGACGGTATACCTAACGCCATATTTGAACCAGAGTTTTCAAAACTCCACAATCTTCGCATGCTTAAACTGTCAAGTGATAAATGTAATATTGATACATTATCTAACAG